AGGGGCATTGCTTGAACCAGGGAGGCAGAGGCTGCAGTGAGCAGAGATGGCGCCAATGCATTCCAGCCTGGGAGACAGAGTGAGAGTCCGTCTCAAAACAAAAACAAAAACAAAACAAAACAAAGAAACAGAAGAAGAACAAAATGCAGGAGGAAACAGAAAAGCCTAGACGCTGTGCTCATGAAGTGAAGTAACGTGCCAAAGGTTCAGGGCTTTCTCCCCCGACTATAGGAGCTGATCCCAGGGACATCAGAACTAAGAAAAGGGATCACTCTGCTCCCTAAAGCTGTTCTTTCTGCATTTTGGATAGTAACTCCTATCATTCTCCCACTCTAAAATCCTGACAAAAATCCCTGATCTGCCCATCACCATCACCCTTCACCATCCATCAGTTGCCAAATCCTCTAACATCTACGGTCAGCATGTTTTTCACACGTACACCTTTCTATTTACCCCACTGCCCCCCTCCACCCACCAGTGCAGTCCCTTTATTCACCTCCTCCTTGACTTCAGTAATATCTTCGGAACTGGTCTCTGCCTCATCTCTCTGCTCTCACCTGTTGGCCCACCTCAACCATGTTGACTTTATATTCATGCTAATCCACTCTGCTAAGGCTGCTATCTTTGCCAGAAATCCTTCAGGGATTCTCCACTTAGTTTAGAATTTTTCAACCTTATCAACTCTGTAGCTCACACTATTGCACATTTCAGTCAGCTGGTCTGCTTGCAAATCCCAGGATCATTTGCATTTTCCACATGTGGACCTTTCATCAGGCTCCTCCCTCTGTCTAGAAAACACCCTTCCTCCATCTCTGCCCACTGAAATGCTACCGATTACCTCAGAAGCAGGTCAAGTGCCAACTGTTTGAATTAGTTTTCCTTCTTTCTTTCTTTCTTTTTTTCTTTTTGAGATGGAGTTTCATTCTTGTTGCCCAGGCTGGAGTGGCACAGTCTCGGCTCATCACAACCTCTGCCTCCTGGGTTCAAGCAATTCTCCTGACTCAGCCTCCTGAGTAGCTGGGATTACAGGTGTGAGCCATCATGTCCGGCTAATTTTGTATTTTTAGTAGAGACAGGGTTTTTCCATGTTGGTCAGGCTCGTTTCCAACTCCTGAGTCAAGATGATCCACCTGCTTCAGCCTCCCAAAGTGCTGGGATCACAGGTGTGAGTCACTGCACCCGGCCCTCAATTAGTTTTCTTCTCTTTTCCTATCAACCTCTATATTGCCATTCCTGCATTGTTTATCATGGTAATCTTAGGTCGTCATTTATATGTCGTTATCTGTGTAGGCAACTGTTTTTCCTACCAACATTTATTAAGCACCTATGATATACCAAGGGTATGCACTAGGCCCGTCGCATGTGTTATTTAATTTAATTCCTACAACAGCCCTGTGAGATAGGTGTTGTCATCCCCATTTCACAGATCAGGAATTTGAGGCTGACGGAAGTTAATTAACTTCTCAAAGTAGCCTCCTTACTAAATGGCATCAGTCATTCAGCAAATTTTATTCCAATCCATGTCTGCCTGATTCCTAACCCATGGGCTTTTCAATATAGACTTGGGAGTCCCTTTGAGGGCAATTAGTCTTGGAGCCTCAGGGTAAGGCAGAGCGTGCTAAAGGCAGTTTTCTCTCCTCTTTTGTTTGATTTGCTTCATTGTGCCATGGGAAATGCTCCTTTGGCCCTCAGTCAGCACTTAGCCTCGGCTAAAGAAATGATTCATGAAAACAAACATCATACAGTATGTTTAGTTCCATCTGTGACCCTGATTATTATAAAACCGTGAGAGGAATGCCAAGCCCCAGCTCATGCCCGGCAGTCTAGAACTCCCAGTTCTCTGCCACCTCAGTTTAGGCTTCAAGCTAAACCTCTCTGTTTCCTGATTATATCCAGAAGGATACCTCAGCTTTCACGAACAAGGCTGGAACAACATTGTTGTTAGCCTTGGCCTAATAAGAGTTTTTACTGTCAACACCCAACATCAGCTCACAAGAAATTCATAGGAAGATTCAGAACAGAGAAGAGTGGCCAGGCCCAGTGGCTCATGCCTGTAATCCCAGCACTTGGGGAGGCCGAGGCAGGTGGATTACCTGAGGTCTCAGGTTCGATACCAGCCTGGCCAATATGGTGAAACCCCATATCTACTAAAAATATAAAAATTAACTGGGCTTGGTGGCACACACCTGTAATCCTAGCTACTCGGGAGGCCGAGGCAGGAAAATTGCTTGAGACTGGGAGACAGAGGTTGCAGTGAGCCAAGATCGTGCCAGTGTACTCCAGCCTGGCCGAAAGAGCAAGACTCTGTCTCAAAATAAATAAATACACAAAATAAAATAAAAATTAAAAAAAATAACAGAGAAGAACTGGTCTACCTTGAATTGGTTTTTCACCATTTGGGGTTAGAAGTCTACAAACTTGTTCGCTCAGTTCATATTGCCAACTGAATACTATAAAAATGGGTTTATTCTCTTCCTGATTGTTTTGGAGTGGAGGGTGTTCAGTGACCACTGTTTGCTTAAGGAGAATGTAAACAGGACTTGCGATTCCTGTGCCCAATGGGCAGGCCTCCCGAGCCATTTCCAATCTGGCGTGGGGTGTGGATCTAATGGGAAAGAAGCTGAACAGGAAAGGTGGGTAGGTAAGTCTATTTTGTGTTTCAAATGTATTTTCTATTTCAATACTTAAAGCAATCCTTCCTGAGGTAGGTGTTATTTTGATACCCATTCTACAAATTCAAAAACCACGTGGTAAGTAACAGGACTGAAACCCTGGTAGGTTGAGCTCCATAGCGTTCCGCTACCCTAAGCTTACACTTACTTTGTGGCAAGACCTTGTCATGCAAACAGGACCAAAGGCAAAATTTGTAAACAAGTTCAAGTTCTCAAGTATCAATATTCTTCCCTTCCTCCAAACCAAAGATAACGGAAGTGCTTAATTTCGGAACTGTCTCATATTTTCCATCGTTGACAAAGATCTCAACAAGAATTGGCAGTTAAACTGTACTCTTCTTACCTTTCACTCAGGAGACTCCCTCGTTTGATTCTTAGGCAAGTGGGCTTTCTTGGTCTCATTATTTTGGTTGGTTAGACCACAGGCCATTAAGGCCAATGAGCAGAGTCAGTGATGAGATCATCCTGTTCGCAGCCACCTCTAAAACAGGTTATAATGCGGCTGGGAGGAAATGTAGATGGCCCGGGGCAGGTTGTCACTGGGGCTAATAAAGGTTATCGGAAGTCCCACTCACTGGGGTCACTTATGTCATATTCATAATCTTCAAAGTCAAATATCTTTATTCACACAAAAACCCCGCCCCACCCGACTTCTTCATGACCTGCTATGCTGTAGATACGCAACATCTTTATAATAATACATATATATCCATATGGGATGGGGTAGTTACTGCTAACCAGTTCACACTAACAATTTATAAAAAATATTCTGGGCTGGGTGCAGTGGCTCATGCTTGTAATCCTAGCACTTTAGGAGGCCAAGGTGGGAGGACTGCTTGAGCCCAGGAGTTAGAGGCTGACTGGGGCAGTATATTGAGACCTCGTCTCTATTTTAAAACATAAATTTGGCTGAGTGCAGTTGCTCATGCCTGTAATCCCAGAACTTTGAAAGGCCGAGGTGGGTACATCATAAGGTCAGGAGTTCAAAACCAGCCTCACCAACATGGTGAAACCCCGTCTCTACTAAAAATACAAAAATAGCCAGGCATAGTAGAGCATGCCTGTAATCCCAGCGACTCAGGAGGCTGAGGCAGGAGAATTGCTTGAACCCGGGAGGTGGAGGTTACAGTGAGCCGAGATCACACCACTGCAGTCCAGCCTGGGCGGCAGAGAGACTCTGTCTCAAATAAATAAATAAATAAAAATTTTAAAGTTAAAAAAAAAAAAAAAAATATATATATATATATATATTCCAACCTCTCAAAACCTTAGCCAAGTTTGATATTTGGGATTGTTTTCACAGTGCTAGATGCTTTTTATGAAGTCCACATTTCACGGAAATAATAGAACTTTTATTTTGCCTTCCCCAGCGTAGTTCTTGTAAATATCTTACAGTTGCCTCTGCCATATGGTTTCTAAAAAAGTTGCTCAGAGCACAAGCAAACATCATTATTTCTATAATATAGAAACAACTTAATTTTGTTGCTCCTAGTGCCCTTTTGCTTTCGTCCAAGATGACTTTTCAAAAGACATTTTTGGTTCTAAGACATTCACTACCTATTATCTGACTTCTGCTGCCAACATTTTGGAAACACCTTGAAACGAGACGTTGACATATGTTAGCAGAAGTCAGAGAAGGAGAGCAGAGGTTGGCAGAAAATGAGATATTGAAGAACTGGAAATCTGCATAAAGGTGAGTCGTGTGAGGTCAGGTACACTAAACAAACTGCGCTGTGGGGAGGCCACGCTACCAGGAGGAGCCACATTGAACAGTCTGCACGGTGACCGGATATTTCATAAACAAGGAAAGAGAGAGTTGGGATCCTGTCATCCATCCCCTCAAACATCTCTCACCTTCATGCACCGCTTTTGCGTAGCCATGATGGAACCACTTAGCTCCGCTACCTCTCTCTGGCCTTCCTAACTTCTTTCCTCTCCCCCTACTCTCATTCCCTTTCTATTTTGCTTCTCTGTGCAGAATCTTTTGTTGTTAACCACTTTTAAGGTGAGTTCATCCCAGCTGGAAAACAACTCATCTTCCTCCCTCATTCTGAATTCAGGTACCCAGGTCGCTCCCCTTCTTGGGACTGGGACCTTTCTCGCTAAGCTCAGCATCCCAAGCTGCGAGGATGATCTATTCGTGAGTCCTCCACTGTGCTGGCTGCCTCATGACGCCAAACTGGTTCCTCTTCCCTCCCCCCACGCCTCATCCCCAAAGAAATCTAAACTCCGTGGCCTCTGAAACTCTCTGCGCCTGGGTCCCCAAGGTCTCCGCTTGGATCCAAGACTTTTGTGGCCAAAGCGGGGTCGGGTCGAGGGCGGCAGTACCTCTTTGCAGGCGTGAAGCTCCTGTCCCGTTCCCTGGGTCACCTGGAAGGCGGTCCCAGCCCAGAGCAGCAGCCGCAGCAGCCGGGGTGTGCGCCTCTCAGTTCTTCCCCTGCCTCTGGCGGAGAGATGGTGGCTGTACCCAGGCTCAGCCATAGCGTTGTCCTGAGTGAGCGGCAGTAGCGGCTCAGGTGCTGCGGCTGCTGCTTCTGCTGGCAGAAGGCGGAAAAAAGGGGAGGGAGGTACACAGTGGGAGGATGCAAGGGGCCAGACTAGCTCCAGTCACCTCCCTGCGACTACGCCAAGGCCGCCCATCCTTCCTCCTCCCTCCGTCCTCTCCTCCTACCCACGTCGCCTTGACAACCGCCTCCTCTCTGGCTTCGTGCGGGTGGGGCAGGGACCACGCGCGCCTCTGCCGCTCACCTGCCTGTCGCCACGGCAGCCGCCACCGCTGGTGCGCGGGAGAGCGCGCGCCCGGGGTGCGCAACCGGCCCAACAGACAGGCCCGGGGCTCGCGTGAAGAACGCAGTGGAATCATCTTCCAAGCCAGTGCCAACAAATTTCCGTTTTCTACTGCCCTTTCGGGCCCGGGGTTATATATGAGCATCTCTGATTTTGCAAATGTGGCGTGTGAGCCGAGAGAAAGAGGATGGAGAGATCACCCTCCATAAGTCGTCACCCGGAAGAGGCCCCAGTACGTGTTCCCTCCTGCAAAGGCCGCGCCTGCTGTGGATCTTACATCCCGCCAAATCCATCATACTTTTTCTTTCTTTTTTTTTTTTATTTTTGAAATGGAGTCTCGCTCTGTCGCCCAAGCTGGAGTGTAGTGGCGCCTCCATCTCCCCGGGTTCAAGCCAGTCTCCCGCCTCAGCCTCTCGAGTAGCTGGGACTACAGGCGTGCGCCACCACGCCCACTGGAGTTTCACTGTGTTGTCCAGGCTGGTCTCCTGGCCTAGTGATCCGCCCGCCTCGGCCTCCCAAAGTGCTGGGATTACAGGCGTGAGCCACCGCGCCCGGCCCCATCCATGCTTTTACAACCGGCTAGATGACGCTGTAGTTAATCCAAGTTTACCTTGGCCGCAAGTTTCCAAGTACCGAACGTGGGCCTCTCTTTCCCTTTCTCTCTCTCTAAGATTCTCACTCTCTTGCCCAGACTAGAGTGCAGTGAGTGGTGCGATCTCAGTTCACTGCAACTTCCCCCATCCGGGTTCAAGAGATTCTCCTGCCTCAGCCTCCCTGGTAGCTGGGATTACAGGCACCCGCCTAATTTTTTTCTTATTTTTTTTTTTGTAGAGATGAGGTTTTGCCATGTTGCCCAGACTGGTCTCGAACTCTTGGGCTTAAGCGATCCGTCCGCCTTGGCCTCCCAAAGTGCTGCGATTACAGGCGTGAACCACGGTGCCCAGCCCTCTCTGGTCTCTTGACATCTTCACTTTTTGTTAGGTGCGAGGGAGAAGGAAATTTCTGGGTCATCTTTCAGGACTTCTTTCCTCAAAAAAAAAAAAAAAAAAAAAAATTTTTTTTTTTTTAGATGTAGCCTTACTCCGTTGCTAGGCTGGGATGCAGTGCTCTCTGCAACCTCCACCTCCCGGGTTCCAGCGATTCCCCTGCCTCAGCCTCCCAAGTAGCTGGGACTACAGGCGCGCGCCACCGCCACCGTACCCGGCTTTTTTTTTTTTTTTTTTTTTTTTTGTATTTTAGTAGATAACGGGGTTTCTCCATGTTGGCCAGGATGGTCTCGATCACCTGACCTCGTGATCCGCCCGCCTCGGCCTCCCAAAGTGCTCGGATTACAGGAGTGAGCCACCGCTCCCGGCCCTGAGTTGAAGTATTTTGCGGAAGTCCTGATGGTGAGCAGCCAGCGCCGAGTGCAATTCCAAGGCTCGGGGCTGGCTCAGCGGCACTTTCCCTCTGCATTCCCCGGAGCTTCCCCCCAGGGGCCTCCCGCGGTCAGCCGCCAGATGGCGCCCTCCTCGAAGGGAATTCCTCTGTCATGGATGGCTGGGCAGTTGCCTGGCAACCTAAACCGGTGTTCCAAACAATTGGGACCCGGGATCGTCTGCGGGCGAGGTTGTGCTGCAGCTGAGCGGGCCTCCCATCCCTCTTAAAAGAGTCAGGCATTTAGCCATGCCTCCCACCCGGGACCCTTTCCAGCAGCCTACATTAGATAACGATGATTCCTACTTAGGAGAACTGCGGGCTTCCAAGGTACTGTGGTTTCTTGCGCAGATTCCCAGCAGGGTTGCCTGTAGTCTTCTTTCTGTCTATGTGATGGGCAGAGACGGTAACATAAAGGACTCCCGTGAAGACACTAAGTCGGGTACCAGAGAAGTCTGTTTTCCGTCTGCCTCCCTATCTCCATATTCAGGTCGGCTAACATTTCAGAGGCGTTTTTGAGCAGAGGAAAGTAGAGTTCTAGTCTAGAGGAACAAGGGGCTCTGGCAGCTCAAATCCGTTGGAGTATAAGTTATGGGAGGGCCCAGGTTCCTTCAAGCTACCCATTTTCCTGTTTGGAAGACTGTTCCCTGAGATATCGGGTGGGAAAGAATCCTCTGAAAGCCACCAGAGGTCATGCTTTGTACATCTGTGTTCACATTGTCTCTGACTTCTGGTTAATTTCACAATGTGTTTGTGTGTGTGTGTGTTTAGCAGGATGGTGGTCACTGATTTCAGAACTTAGATGATCTTTCTTCTGGTATTAGTGTTTGGGATATTCAAAGTGGTGCACAATAAGAAGAATTAAGTGGTAATTGTGGTCTAATAACAATATTAAGAGCCCCCTTTTATTCAATACTTATTTACTATATGCCAGACACTCTGCTAGACACTGAGGACGTATAAATAAATCAGATGTAGCTTCTGCTGTCAAGGAACTCTAGTAGTAAAGAGAGACCGATGATAGCAAAAATGCTTGCACAATAGCACGTGTTGTGACAGAGTTGTGTTTAGGGTGCCATGAGAATCAGGAACTTAAAGGAAAGCTTCACAGAGCAGGTGTGTTTTGATGTCCAAATATGAATTAGGTAGGCCAGGTGAGGGAGGGGGTAGAATGTGAGTTAGGAAGAAGGAAACAGGAACCAGATACGCAAGGCAAAGGAAGCAGCGGGTGCAAATACATGAAAAGGAGAGACAGAATGGCCTGTTTGGGGAGCTGCAGATAGTCCAGAAGGGCTGGAATGTAGGTGTGAAATGGAGGCACTCAGCAATCAGAGCTGGAGAGATGCCCTTGGCGGGCTGAGTGTGCTGTGTACACCACGCTAGCTAGCTATGGTTTCATCCTATTGATGTGAGGAATCATGCTGGGTTGTTTTTTTGTTGTTCTTGTTGCTTTGTTTTTGAGACAGAGTTTCGCTGTTGTTACCCAGACTGGAGTGCAATGGCGCGATCTCGGCTCACCACAACCTCCGCCTCCTGGGTTCAAGCAATTCTCCTGCCTCAGCCTCCCGAGTAGCTGGGACTACAGGCGCGCACCACCATGCCCAGCTAATTTTTTGTATTTTTAGTAGAGACGGGGTTTCACCTTGTTGACCAGGATGGTCTCGATCTCTTGACCTCATGATCCACCTGCCTCGGCCTCCCAAAGTGCTGGGATTATAGGCGTGAGCCACCGCGCCTGGCCAGAGTTTTTTTTTTTTTTTTTGAGACAGAGTCTTGCTCTGTTGCCCAGGCTGGAGTGCAGTGGGACGATCTCAGCTCACTACAACCTCTGCCTCTGATTCTTCTGCCTCAGCCTCCTGAGTAGCTGAGGCTACAGGTGCCCACCACCACACTGAGCTAATTTTTGTATTTTTAGCAGAGATGGGTTTTCACCATATTGACCAGGCTGGTCTCAAACACCAGGCCTTGTGATCCACCTGCCTCGGCCTCCCAAAGTGCTGGGATTACAGGCATGAGCTATGACTCCTGGCCCCATAGCAGGATTTTAAGCACCACAATGACACATAGCACTTTGCTATATCGGGAGGAAGGAGGATTACAATGTTGGGCAGGTCTAATGAGAGTTCTAATAGGTTGTTAGTTGCCCTCACTGGAATTCAGTCAAATGATAAATTGGATTCAACCATTTTGAATATCATGTGTTAAGTCGCTGTGTTAGGAACTGGGGAAACAGTGGTGAATATAACATTTTACATATAATGAAATCTGTTATATGCTTTTTACGTTCATGCCTGTGAGGTTTTATTGAGAGGACTGAATGTTCAGTGGACTTTTCTGCCATTCCTGCAATCAATGACCCTTCCCTGCTTACTGGAATCTTTTTCTCACCTGCACTCTCCCGATTTCATGTCTGATTGCTTCTCTGAGGCCCTCCTCACTCCCAGGTGTAATACTGTACAATTCTCACGAACCAGCGCTTCCCTTTTGGTGTGACTCCATTTTGCAGCCTTCAACTACTACTTCATGCAGACAACCAATCCTTCTGAGCTCTCCTCCTCCAAGTTACACTTCCAATTTTCTACCTGTTATTTGCATTAGAATGTCTCACCGTTTCTTCAGACTCACTACATCTAAACCTGAGCTCATCGGTTTTTTTCTATTTGCTCCCGACCCTTCACCCCCTCATCTCACTGTAGCCCTTCTCCTATATTCCTGGCCTGTTTCTTTCAGTTCCAAGAAAACTTAAGATGATCACGAGTCTGGAGAGTCTTGCCCCATACTGTTTTCTTTGCAGATGTCTGCGATTCAAATAAAACCAGACAGGGCCAGGAGCAATGGCTCCTGCCTCTGATCTCAGCACTTTGGGAGGCTGAGACTGGTGGATCACTTGAGGTCAGGAGTTCCAAACCACCCTGGCCAACACGGCAAAACCCCATCTCTATTAAAAATACAAAATTAGCTGGGTGTAGTGGTGCATGCCTGTGATCCCAGCTACTTGGGAGGCTGAGACAGAAGAGTGACTTGAATCTGGGAGGGAGAGGTTGCAATGAGTCGAGATCATGCCACTACACTTCAGTCTTGGCAACAGAGTGAGATTTCTGTCTCAAAAAAATAAAACAAGGCCGGGCACGGTGGCTCACGTCTGTAATCCCAGCACTTTGGAGGCCGAGGCAGTTGGATCAGAAGGTCAGGAGGTGGAGACCATCCTGGCCAACATGATGAAACCCTGTCTCTACTAAAATCCAAAAAAAATTAGCTGGGTGTGGTGGCGCACACCTGTAGTCCCAGCTACTCGGGAGGCTGAGGCAGGGGAATCACGTGAACCTGGGAGGCAGAGGTTGCAGTGAACCAAGATTGCACCACTGCACTCCAGCTCTGGTGACAGAGCAAGACTCTGTCTCAAAAAAAAAATAACAGATGGAATAAGGGGATGCGTCTGAAGCTAACCACATCAACAAGGCTTCCTGTATAACCAGTTTTTCCTGGACATGGTTTCTCTTTTGCAGAAATTGCCATACAAGAACCCAACTCACCTTGCTCAGCAGCAGGAACCCTGGAGTCGGCTCAACTCAACCCCCACAATTACTTCCATGAGGCGGGATGCCTACTATTTCGATCCAGAGGTAGCAAACATTGAAATATTATTTATCTTTGCAGCCATTTAGGGTTCTTCTTCCCCCCCACCCACCGTCACTCAGGGTGGAATGCTGTGGCCTGATCATGGTTTAT